TGCCCTGGCCACCCTCCCGGCCCTCCCCTGCCCCCTCACCTCCACCCTTGTGTTTCAGAGCATCAGCAGGGGCTGACACAGGACCTGGCTCCCCCTTGGCTGCCCCTTTGGACCAGAACAAGAAAAGGAGCAGCAGCATCGCCTCCACCTTGGGGCTGAAAAAGCTCTTCTCAGCCCTTGGCCAGAGTTCCCGGCCCAAGCTGGGCAAGTCCCGCAGCTACAGTGTGGAGCAGCTGCAGCCCGCCGTGCCTGGCCTGGCGTCACACTCCAGGGCCCCGTCGTTACAATCCCTGCACCCGGTGAGTCCAGGGGCCCCAGCCCAGGGAGTGAAGCCAGCAGTGGTGCAGCCACCATCAGCATGAAAGGTGAATGGAGGGAGGAGGTGCTGAGGATGCCTCCCAAGGAGCCCACAGTAGGGAGAGGGAAGCTGCTGGCATCCCCACAGTTGACCCATGAGACTTGGAGTCCCCTAGACAAAGGGTGGGTCGGCAGCATCTCACACTGCTGAGATGACCCTGCCAGCTGCCCAGGCCTGGGGTCACTCTAGGCTCCTCCCTCTCCCTCAACTTTGTCACCTCAGCCAAGTCCCGGAGAGTTAACAGCCTGATGGTTCTGGAACCTTCTCCATGGCCATAGTGACTCTGAGCCCAGGCACAGATCACTTCCCACGTGGATTCCCTCAGCAGCCCCTTGACTGGCCTCCCTGCCATGGTCCTGCATGTGGCTTCCAGAGTGGTCCTTCTGATATGCAAATCTGGCCACGCCACCCCCTCACCAAACAGCTATCATTGGTCCCTTATTGCCTTCAAGATAAAGTTCAGACCACTCAGCATGACCAGAGTTTCTGGGATCTGTCTGCTTTCATCCCTCGTCGTTCTTCTTTTAACACACTTGACCCCGGTTGCAGCCGATGCGCTTGCAGTTCTGTCGGCAGATCGCACGCTGACTCTGAACCCTCAGCTGGGCTCTTTCTCCCGCCTTCCCCAATGCCACCTGCCCGCTCATCCATCCTTACTGCAGGCACGTGCCCCTCAGGGAGCCACTCCCAACCCTGCCTCAGGCCGAACTGGGCCTCCGCCCCCTGCTCCCATTGCTACTGTCCCTCCCTCCTTTGTGGCACTCCCTGCATCATGTTTAGTTGGGTTTTGTCTCTCAGCCCTCACTGGAGTGTGAGTTATTTGAGGGAACACTGCTTGATCTTCGTATTCCGGTACTTTCTAGGGAAGCTAGTGCGGTACGCACAATACACACCGAGTGGTGAGTGGGTGGGAAGCGCAGGGCAGCTCGCTCAGGCTCTCCCTCCCCAAGTACTCCACACTCTGCAACGAGGAGCAGCACCCGCTGGACACCCCTTCTGTTCCAGGGAGTTCCAGGTGGTCTGTTTCTCCTAATTCCCTCCCCGCTCTCCTAGGGAGAGTGAAGCAGGTGAGAGTGGTTTGCGTTGCTGGCGCCTTTCATTTCCCAGGCTGCAGGTGAGAAGAGGATGCAGACTGAATGAAGGTCCCATTGACTGTCTTCCACCAAAGACTGTCCTAGGCACATGGTCAGTGCTCAACAAATATTTGCCTGTTGAATGAATGGAAGGCAAAGAAACAGCGGCAGAGATTGAAGCTGGCGAAATCAGCAGCAGTGACTTGTGCTCCGGGAACTCGCTGTTCTCATGAAGTTAGATTTATCCACAGCGTGTCTGAGCCGTGGCACCCAGATTTACTGTCATCAGGACTTCTATCTCTGTAAACCCCCCAAAGGAAACACCACCCCCGTCGGTGTCATGGAGAGGTTCATAGGCAATCTGAGCTGAATGGACAAAGATAGGAAGTCCTGATGACAGTAAATCTGGGTGCAAGAAAGGGAGGCAGAGCAGGGAGGATGAACAGCAGAAATACATTTTCAAGAACTGAAAAAAGACAGAAATTTTCAAGAACATGGCAGATAAAGGAAGAATCTGTCTCCCCGCCACAGTATTTGTGACATTCCTCAGGGTAAAATACTTGCTGTTGGTGTGTGCTGCTGCCAAGAGTGTGTTTGCTGGGAGGTTTAGTTTTTTGG